AGCAAGCACAGTTTGTGGAAACACGACCCTAAAGTCATATAGCAGGTTAACAGAACAGCTTAGGTTGTTAGATGAAAGGAAGTTGGTTTACTTGGTTGCAGAGTTGGGGGGTGGGAAGTCCTGGCAGTTGGTTGCAGAGGCTGATGAGGGGGGGGGGGGGGGGGGGTCTTGGCAGTTGGTTGCAGAGGCTGATGAGCTGACGAGATGATGGCACTCAGGAAGGCGCAGCGTGGGAGCAGTTGTTGGAGTGGAGCCCCTTGGATTCTCTCTCCTTGTGAAGCTTTAAGGTGAAAGGCTTTGTCTTGGTTGCAGTTCTCTGTGGGGTAGCAGGCCTTCACCGGCAGGCTTCAGGAGGGCTTCTTGCAGGCTTCTCTTCTCCAGGGCTGATGTTCTTCACCTCTCTCTTTGGGCTGATGTGCTTTCTGCTCCAGGCTTTGTTCTGAGGTGCCAGGTTTTATGGTCTAAAGTTCATGAATAGGGATGACCAGGAATTCGACTCTTGAACCAATAGCTGACCATCCATTTGGCGGGCTTTCAGAGGGGTGTCTGTTGCAGTCCTTTTGGGATTTATGACCAGACTGATTCCCCTTTACTGATGATTTTCATTAAGCTGGTGTGACGTTTGATCCATACACTTTCATGGTAACCACTGACCAGATTCGGAATCGGGAGTGATTTTCCATCACTTTAACACCAAACATGCCATACCAGCTTCACAGGTTCACATCTCATACCATCTGAATTAGTTAATTAACAATTACTTATATTATGTATGTTATTGACTCACATCAGCATACGGTATGGATGTTTTGGGTTGCACCTCAACAGATGTCACACTTTGTACAGACATTACAATGCATATTCATATTCAAACAGCCCATCTTATCCTTAGATATGCGTGGCCGTTAGTTTGGGGTAATACCAATTTAAATTGTACATCTTGGAACAACATATTTTGGTTGGTGTGGCTTATCCCAAGTGGTCTGCTCTCCAGAATGGATAATGTACACCTTAATTCAGTTCTTTTAATGCAGCATGGTAGACCAGAAAGAGCTTGCTAACGGGCCACAAAGATCAGATAAGGGCCACAGAGGAGTGTAAAAAAGGGGGGGTTGTTTTACAAAGAAAGACTAACCTCTGATAGGTAGGACACACTAAGATACATGGTTACACTATTTAATTTTAAAGATTCTTCTGGTATAACCATGAAAACATATATGCAGTGATAGCTATACATATTTATTTATCCAAATTTAAGTGTGTTTAAGTGTGAGGGGTAAAATAGGTGATACTCCGTGAACACTATATGGGTAGCACACAAACACTAATATTGTCTAAGGACACACACAAGCATATATGTATATTGAGACTAGTAGTAAATCAATATATAGGGTATTCAAAAGCCACACTTAAAAGAAACTCTCTTTTATGGTGTTGGGTGAGTGGTATGCAAGGCAGGATGTCAGGGGAGGGGGTTGTGTGCCAAGTCGAGGGGCCCCTGTCCTTGAGGTGCTTGTTTCAGGCCACCTGGAATTTAAGCTCTGTCCTATGTGCATGTGTGATCCTACACTGGTGATTATTATTGCTGGGGGTCAGGTGGATTTCAGGGAAAGGTTTCAAAGAGGTTTGAGATGGAAATAAAATGTTATCACTTGTTTTACACATTTTTTCTGTGTTTCACTTGAGCACAAAATTGCAAACGGAAAAACAAGTCATTATCGTTTTTCGAGTAGTTTTTTATTTTGTGCTCAAACCAAAAATGGGAAAAAATGGATAACAAGCACTCAAATTCTTTTTTGGTTTGATCTGACACAAGAGGGGTGACTCTTGGAAGTGACAGGCTACTTGAGGAAAACAGTAAAAACCACAGAAAGGAATAGCTTTGGGCTAAGGTACATATTGAGAGAGCTTTTTAAGAGTGGGAAAATGTGTGCTAAGATTTCATTGCGGTCAAGCTCTTCTTAGGAAAATGACAGACTCAATTGCGCACATAAAAATGATTCAAGATTTATTATGTATTAAGTACAGGATGTAATAAAATACAAGAAGGACAAACAGACATGAATGAAAATGGCAGCAATATGACAAGTAGCAGTATGGTATGGTGACAGGTATGATAGGAATAATGTCAACAGTAAAAAGAGAGTCTAATGACAGACTAAGCAGTGGCAAATGATTTCCATTAAGTCTTTAAGACTGTTGCGCATTTTATTGAATTAATTCTATGCGATCAAATCTAATTTCAGTACGGAGCCCCTCTCATAACAAACTGACAAAAATTATAGGCACATTCTAAAAAAAAACTAAGAAAGCGGGACTGAATTTATAAAATGTGGCCATGATTTAATTACAACAAGGGAACAAATTAGTTTGCAATTTGCAAATCTGTTCTACAATGCCAATTTTGAATTATTTGAGTATACATATCCTTTACCTGTGTACGTACTGCTTGTCATTTATGTATCTGTTTATGTATACCTGTCATGAGCCACCGCAGAAGTATCCCACTTGCATCACTATGGCCACGCCCCCCTGGGGAATCCCTGTCATTCCGATACTCCTGACCAGGAGAACCTGGCCTCCTCATGATTGCCCAGGTGGCTCCACCTTGGAGTCATGCCCTTTTCAGCTGCTCCCCATCTCCCCCGAATCAGTCGCCTATATGGAGTGGTCAGGCTCACCTGCTTTTTGCCAGACTTTTCTGTCAGAAGATCTTGCCATATAGGATGGACCCAGTGGATTAGGGAAGTATCCAGTATATTGTGGATGCCCTAGGAAAACAGGAAATCCTCCTCAGACGTCAGCAATCTGAGCTGGCTGCGATCGGGGAATCCTTGGAGTCCTTCCATGCTGGTCTGACGGCGATGGCTTCGCAAGTTCAAGATCTGCTTTCGAGCCGCCCTGCTGCCTTTTCTTCTCATCCAGTCAGTGAACCTTGGCTGTCGCCTCTGGGGCAGTACAATGGGGATCCCAAATCCTGTTGCACATTTTTGTTGCCGTACTCCCTAATTTTTGAATTACAGCCTTCCCGTGTTGCTTATATAATCGCTCTGCTCACAGGACCGGCTAGAGAGTGGGCAACTGCAGCTTAGGATTCCGGAGCACAGTCCTGTAGCCACTTTTTCAGCTTTTTGGGGGAGATAGCATGCGTCTTTTATTGTAGGAAGCAGCATGTGAATTATTGCAGCTTCACCAAGGCAATCAGTCGGTCTCCGATTACGGCATTCAGTTTCAGACATTAGCAATGTCCTGCGGCTGGGGGCGAATGGCTCAATTTGATCCATTTTATCAGGGCCTATCGGAGTGGATAAAGGATGAGCTAACCTGAGAACTATCAGATGCATTGAAGGATTTAATTAACCTTGCTATTCGAATAGATACCTGTAATCGCCTCCATCAGCATGAGAAGGAATGACGGAGAGGAGAGAGTTTTTTTTGCATCTTTCAGAGTCCACTGGTGATTCAGAAGAAGCCCGACCTGAACCCATGCAGATAGACAGAACCCAAGTAACCCCAGCAGAGCAGCAGCAGCAAATATCTTCCCGGGCATGTTTTTATTGGAGGAAGATCGGCATTTTATTGCCAATTGCCCATTAAAAGGGGGCACCCACCAGTGATGAGGAGGGCAATGCTGGGCGTGGTAGCAGTTTTACCCCCTTCCTCTCGCAGAACCTTCTTCCCAGCAGTGGTGTCCTGGGGGTCACAGCATCAGTCCCTGGGTGCCCTAGTGTAATCAGGGGCTGACGTCAATTTTATCCTGGTGAGACAGTGGGGAATCCCAACTTCCCCAGTCGATGTGCCCTTTGTGACTCAAGCCCATTTGTGACCCATTGCACGGTTCTGGGAAGCCTTTGACTTTCTGGTAATCACATTGAGACCATTGTGCTGTTTTTTTCTTGACTCTCCCCAGGTGCCTTTAGTCCTGGGGCATCCATGGTTCCTGAAGCACGATCAGCATATCGACTATGAGAAGGGACTGATTGATACCTGGGCTCCTTCTTGTACCTTACAGTGTCTGCAAACTGACTTTTGCCTGGGAACTCGCCGACTCCAAAACAGTTACCTGATCCAAGGTGCTTGCAGAATTTTTGGATCTGGGGAAAGTGTTCAGTAAGTCCCGTACCTCTTCTCTTCCGCCGCATTGTCCTTTTGACTGTTCAATAGATCTACTCCCAGTTTTAATATATTCTCTCTCTGCTCCTGAGAGGTCTGCAATGAAGGAATATATAGGGGAGGCCCTGGCTGCAGGAATCATCTGACCTTCTTCTTTTTGAGTGGGCGCGGGATTTTTCTTTATTAAAAAGGACGGGTCATTCTGTTCTTGTTTCAATTATAGGGGTCTACGGAGAACACGATGAAGAATCGTTTTCCCCTACCTTTGTTGTCATTGGTGCTCGACCAGTTACAGGAAGCTACAATCTTCACCAAGCTGAAACACCTACCATTTTGTCCGGATCCAAGAAGGTGATGAATGGAAGACCGCCTTGAACACACCCACGGGACACTTTGAATATCTTGTGATGTTCTACGAGACCTGCTCAATAGGTCTGTTTGTTTACCTCGATGACATCTTCATTTTCTCACAAAACAGGACCACATACAACATGTTCATGAGATACTCCAGAGACTCCTCTTGAATAAGCTGTATGTTAAAGCAGAAAAGTGTCTTCTCCACCGACGTACTCTCTCCTACTTGGGATTCATCCTTTCTGAGGGCCCAGTTCAAATGGACTCAAATGGAGTAGTACCCAGGTCACGGAAGGACCTTCAACACTTCTTGGAGTTTTCTAATGACATTTTATACAGGGGTATAGCATGGTCGCTGCTCTCACTTCTTCCAAGGTCACCTTTAAATGAAATCCGGAGGCTCAAGATGCATCAGCGTCCATTCATGGTATTCCTGTCAATAACTCCTTTAATAACTCCATTGACATAATGTAATTGAGAAGGAACAATAATAAAACTTACTGTATGTACCACATCACTGTGTTTAGTTATCTTTTTTATTTAAACCAATGCACAGTCTCAGGAGTGATTCAAGGTTACATTTCACTGCATGTTGTATGTGTATAACTACACATGTAAGAAATAAAACTTCTTGAACCTTGAGCGTAGTTCGGTAAAGCGCCCTGGCTCTCAATACTATTCAATGTAAGTGCTTCTGGATAATAATTTATTGTAATGTAAGACTTTTACTGTTTGTAGGTCATTCCATCCTATGGTTGTTGCCACCTTCAATCTGAAGCAATATAGGACTTATAAAGTATGTCGTAGGGAATGGTCAAGCCATGAATACGGGAAAAACTGCATCCCATATTGGTTCAAGACAGGACACAACATTTAATTTTTCAATATGGGACAATCTGGTAAAATACAGGATGGGTGGCAGCTCTATTTCAACCTTAAAATTAAACTCAGTTAAACTATCTTTGTCCATACAAACAGATGCAGATGTCTAGTGGACTAGGGGAAATCGATGCAATACGCTATATAAAGCGCTTTCACACTGATGTTCCGGAACCTGGTTTAGAAGTCTGTCTGACATATACCTTTTGTTACTCCTGGTCACTTTCATATGTCACACTGCACATCAGGAACTGGGACCTTTAAGCTCGTAAGTTAAACTTCACTCATAATTCATATGACAAAGGTATATTGGTTATTGATCTAACTTTCTGATGCAGAAACATAGAGACACAAGCAAAAAATGTAAATGATGCATTAAATGTAGCTGAGGTACAAAAATAATTCCATTTGCTCTTGCAACTTCTTTCTCTTTCCTTGCACTTCTGTGTAACTTCTAAGTCAGTGCCGGTTGCTGTTGGTCACCCAGTCAGAAAGCTTATCGTTCCTCAGTGGATCATGTTCAAAGAAAAAATACCTTATCTGGAGTAGGTACTAAAACATTTCTGGATCTCCAAGGAACTACAATTGGGCTGAGTTTCCGTAGTGTGAACATGGTTCCGGAAAAAGGTCTTGGTTCCAGAAAAAATGTGTGAGAACCCCTTTCATGATTGCGTTTCAATATGTATCATGGGAACAAATTAATGAAATGTGTTTCCCAATTTTGTGCCCAAATCAAACATGGAAAAAATTGATAAGTAAATTTCACTTCCTTCTCAAACCTCTTCGAAAACCTCCCCTGCAGTCCACCCGTCTGCCAGCAAAAAGCCTGGACCAATAACAAAGATGAGCTTCTGCATTTCCGTTGTGGCTTTTGTATTCGTGTTGTGGCTTTTGCATTGCGTTGACCCATCTGGGCTACCATACCTCAGGGCTATTCCACTAGCTGGATGACTTAAGCTAAATGTGAAAACTGGCCAATAGGAAGAGTTGTAAGTAACATTCCTATTGGACCATCCTTAATTTGGTTTAAGTTATCTAGCTGTGAAAAAAATCATAGGGTATGTTCCACAAAGCAGGATTTCTCAGTTAACGCTGATGCACTTGTGCACATTGAATCTTCCGTTAACATACATCACCAAAGTTGGTAGTATCTCAGTACACTTGCATTAGGTTGGCTAAATGGGACCAATGACATATAAAAATGACAGGCAAGTCTTCAGCTATAGGCCTATAAAATCTAGAAGTCGCTCCATCGATTGTTTGTATGAAAGCACTATAAATGACAATTTACTTGCAAATTTCATACATATTTCACCAAGAGCCTGAACACAGGTTTACATCTATAATCCCTTCAAATGAAAATTCTTCCCGAAGACAAACAGTTTTAAAGCAAATAGTAACATTTCAATGCTTCACAAACTAAATAACCAATAAAACATAAATTCAGCAGTCTAAACCAAGGCTGCCATATTGTGGCTAATCCATTGTCAAAATAAAATTCTGCATGTCGCTTCAACTTCCCAAATGCAAACAATTAGGAATACTATGCCGCATATGTCATACTCAGCACTTGATTCGTCACAAATTCATTTACTATTTCAAAATATTTTGATTACATTATACACAATCACAGGTGTAGTTTCAGGTATGCTACAGTATATTAAAAATTCATAGCGTACAGGTTATTATAACCGGTAGCCTATATCGGATGAACTGGTATATACCGCCCAGCGTGTGTCCAAAGACTGCAAATTGTATGTCTGCAAGAGGAATATCACATTGGCAGTCAATACAAAAACATACAATGATCAATAAACACATGAAGTGGTGGAAGGTTAAATCACTGGAGCAGGACAAATGCCTGTTTCTGCAGCCAAAAGCTGCTGTTACGTGCCGTAAGTTTTTGTTACGTGCCGTAAGGGATATGTGCCGTAAGTTTTGGGTACGTGCCGTAAGTGTTACGTGCCGTAAGTTTAGGAGGATGCCTGCAGGTCCTTCGGACGTCCTGCCCACTCGCCGATTGGTCGCCCGCACCCTCGACTCCGCCCTCAGGACCTGACCCCGCCTCCCTTGCCCTCGGAGCCGTTTCCGGTTCACCGGCTGAAGAGTTCGCCGCTTCGTCCCTTCGTCTGCCCGCTACTTGCTTCTCGCCTGCTAGCTCGCTCTCTGTTCGCTTTTGCTTTGTTTGATTGATCGTGTATGACTGTTTTGCCCTTGACTTCCGATTCTCGCCTCGCCCTTATTTGTACTTTCGCCTTGGTTTCTGATTGCTTGATTGGTTTTGGACTTTCGCCTGTGTTTCGACTTCGCCTCTCGGTTTTCCCTTTTGATACCTTTGCCTCGGCTTGGTGTTTCGTGTTTCACTAGGTGTGTAGGGAGTGTCTGCCTTTTTGTTTATTCGTTAACGTGGGGATTATTGTTTGTTTGGTCAGGGAGATAGATTTAGGCATTGTTGTTTCGTTTCACCATTTTCTTTGTGTTCACTTACGTAGCTCAGCTTGGGTTACTCGGTAGATGTGCTGTTGTTTGTTTCTTTGGCCTTTGTCACTCCTGACGTTCGTTACACCTAGTGTTTGTATTGTGTTTGTGAAAAACTATAAAAAAAACTATAAAAAAAGACTCCCTCTGTGTCCCGTGTTCCCTTCTCCTAGCCCTAGTTGTCCTGTCCTCCCCAATCCCTCCTTCCCTTTCACTTTGTTGCGGTCCAACCCTAGACTGGATCGTAACACTGCACAGTGTGAAGGATAGCCTCCACTTCTCCATCAAATCACTGCACTTGCAGCCACGTGATAGCAGGTTTAGTAAATCTACCTTCATCTCTCGCGTACATTCCTTTCCTTCTCACTCCATTTTGGCATCTCAAAAAATTTACTAAGCTGAACTGCGCCAGCAGGGTGTGAAGTATAAGTTCATAGCCTACATCTATATGGAAAAATATACCTTACATGACGTTAATTTCTTCGCTCTTTTCTTCAAATGTTATCATATATTATGGGTTGATTTTTACTTATGCAATTTAGCCAATACGATAATACATTTGCATTGAAATTCCTTGCGAATGTTTGGCCAATCAATGAAAATAGATAACTTACTTTGAAAAATTTCTAGAGGTTTGGCATTGAATCTGTCGATGCTGACAACAACTTGGTGGCAGGCAAAGAGGGCTCGCACTGCACTATAATGTTACTTTCCTTTAATGTGTTTGAATATGAAATGTTACCCTCATTTCCGAGACTAAAAAGCACTGTATCCAGTCTCTTCCATTCTTTAACCCTGGGAGTGCGTTAGTTACATCCCTGAATAGCCAATGAATAAATTTTGAATAACATGATTTAAAAAGCTAAGACTATGTATGCTAAAAGTTAAGGTAATTTCTTCAGTAATGTACAAACTCAAACAGATTTTTTGTATTTTAAATACGTAACACCGTTACATGTATTTCGTTACTCTCCAACGCTGCCTTTGGCAACATGCGTCTGTAATTTCTTTCCACCAGTGTCCCTTCTTATCATATGGATGCCGTTCTTGTTACCTGCTTTTTAACAGGCGTTTGGAGGCTGCTGCTAGTTTGCGCATTTTTCAGAGCCACATGCTGCTGCCATTCAGCTGTGTGTTTCTGTATGAGACATAATAGGGTTGTTGTGCTGCTACCATTAGTAGCCACAGATTTCAGAGGAACTTTACAACAAACAGCAGTTTGTTATATGTCAGACTTTGCATAACCGAGCCACTTCCAAATGACTGAGTCATCACTGCCAAGATTTGGAGAGGTCTTGACGTGTGTGCTGCCATCTTGACACCGAATGTTGGTGCTCAAGAAGGCAGGGAGACTTGACAGGGTTCTTGGACATGCTGTGATTACAAAGTCTTAAGTCACAATTTTCATTTCACACTTTGCCCTAAATCAACGATTCTAATCAATCGATTAAAAACGATTTATCGTCCAGCCCTCCTGGCAGGTATGTGTGTGCGTGGTTCGACCAATTGGAGGAAATGTGCTGTCGAGAAGCAAATAGATTGTTTTTTTTTCCCCTCTTTGTTCATTTGGTCTTTGTTATGCCACGGGTCATTTAACAACTGATTTATTATGTTGTTACTGTATGTACGGAGCCACTGAAGGGACCTGTGCAAAACAATAAAATGCTACGCAGCTAGCCCTATGGGCTTCCACCATGGGTCTACCCTCCTGTGGACGCACCACCTGCAGGGGGAGCCGTGGGGCTCAGGTGCAGTTTAGATCTGGCACTGACTGTTGTCTGTATGTACACACAGTTCAGTGTATCCAGCACCCACTACAAGGTCTCCAATAAGGCTGAAAGGTGCCCTCTCTGGGAGCTCAATTGTCCTGCTGAGGGACTTTAACACTCATGTAGGTAATGACAGTGAAATCTGGAAGGGTGTGATTGGGAGGAACAGCCTGGCCGATCGGAATCTGAGTTATTGGACTTCTGTGCTAACCACAATGCACCTGGCACCAAAGCACCCGAGTCTGCAGTTCAATGATCAATTTTGTAATCATATCATCAGATCTGCGTCTGCATGTTTTGGACACTCTGGTGAAGAGAGGACCTGAGCTGTCAACTGATCACCACCTGGTAGTAAGTTGGATCAGATGGTGAGAGAAGATGCAGGA